GGCGGGGTGGCCGGGCCCCCCCCGGCCCGCCTCGATCCTGTCCCGCGTCCCCGCGGGCTCGGAGCGGCTCCTGGGCGCCTCTCACCCCAGTCCCAAGGAGTTTTATCAGCTCCGCGTGTTGATCCCGCTCGGGAACCATGGCACGGATCACCAGAGCCTGGTGCAGAGCTGCTGGTGAGGTGTTATGTAAACAGGAAAACAAACACGCCTGTTCCCGTAGTGACTCCATAGTGACAGGGAAACGCTGCGCCCTTGCACAAGCGGCTCCTTCCTCCCCCGGGCCGCGCCCCCCCCCCGCGCCGCCCCCGGAACGCGGCCCGAGGGAGCCGGGAGCGCGGCCCGTGCCGAGGGGACACCCTGCCCGCGAGGGCCGCGTCCCTCCCCGCATGGCACGAGATATCCTCGGAGCGGGAACAGCAAACAGCGCTCGTGCGCCGCTGATAAGGAACCTCGGTGCCCGCTGCGCGCCGGGCTGCTCCCGGGCCCTCGCCTGCAGCTCTGCCCAGTCCTCCCAGAGCTGCTTTCCAGGACAAGCGGCAAAGAAACCACGAGCTTATAAAGCAAATGATTTAGTGCCGAAAGATTGCTTTTCCAGAGCATTTGGAACAGCTGCAGGTAGCAGAACTCATAGAAATCATGGGTAGCTCACGCAGAAGTGAGAGCTAAATTAACTGAATTAGTTGTCGTGCTGAGCAGGTCTTTGGTAAACCAGCTCGCGCGATGGCGACGCCGGTGCGAGCGGCAGCGCGGCGCGCGTCACCTCGGACGGCCGCGAGCGCGCAGGGATCGGCGAGCGGGATGCGCCGAGCGCGCCGGACCAACCTCCAACCCGGGGGCTTTTAGCCAGAAATAGCCACGTCCACTCCTATGGCTGTATTTTGGAGGTTGTCTCGTTGGGAGCCGGTGGGTTTAGCTGACAAATGTAACAGGAAACAAGTCAGGTGCTAAAGCAGAGCGAGAAAACTCTTCCTGTGCAACGTTTTCATGCAAGAGCTGCGCTGAGATGTAAGGACGAGGCTGTGTTTTAACAACGAGGCTGTAGCAACAGCCTGCGCACCGTGCTCCCTGCTTGGGGGAGATAAATTTAGATTGTCAGGCCATGCCGAGGAAATGCAACATTTGCATTTTCCTATCAGGATGTGCCAGGACATGACACTGCAATCTCCAACCGTGAAGTAATAACGTGTTAATAAAGGAGCAGGTCGATCTACTGCAAAGCACTGCTCGCTGCTATTTAGTATTTTTAAAAAAGCTGACTGGGTCTATCCATAGCACCAGGACGTGTAGGGGAGAGCTGGAGCAGCCCAAAAACTATTTCAACAGCAGGTATCACAGGGCAACCTTGGGCCTGCAAGCCTGGACATCCCTAAATAGCCCCCATGCATATGGACACGTGAATGTCCCCATCCACGTGGACATTCCCAGTCACTGCAGGGCAGGTGGGGACACTCTGCGGCTCCCCTCCGGCTCGCGGTGGGGTGGGATCCTGCTGCTCACATAGTTTTCTCCACTCCCAGATTCCAGTCAGTCACATCACCCTGCTCAGGGCTCTCATTTCTCTGAACTTTCAGGATTCCTTCATTTGTTTTGCTTTTTGCTCTCTCCTCTGTTCTCCTTCCCTTCCGTGCTTTACAGTGATCTCATTGTTGCTTCATCACTTGCACGACAGACATTTTCTTCCCGGACTCATTAGGGCTGCAAGAAACATCTGTCTGCTTCCCCCGTTCTCACACCCTTGCAGCAGGGAGGGTGCGTGTGCAGGGTAGGTTTCATTTCGGCAGGATCTTGTGGTTTGGTTTTGTTTTTTAAGCCAACAATACAAACATTTTGCTCCCTACAGATTGTGTGTTTAAAATTAGAAGAAAAGCAGGTCGCTCTGCTCGTGTGGATGAGGGGGGAATTGCTGGGGTTCCTGCGTTCCCGTGGGAGCCTCCATCAGGCTGCTGGGAAAGTGCTGAGCCCTGAACTTCACCCTTATGGTCCGAGTTCTGCTTTGCCTCGGGAAAGTGCCATGACGAGTGCCACCATGGTCCTTGTCCCGGAGCTTGGAGCGATCCTGCAGATAGGCAGAGCCCTTGAGTGCCTTGGAGATAAGGGCAGAAGCGGTGACCTCTTTACACTGATATCCCCGCGCCGGGCTTTGCCTGCTCATCTTGTCCCTTGGCCAAGCCCTGTCAGCTGCTGTCCGCGTCCTCCCGGCGCTCGTGCCCGTGTCTGTCCTCTCGGCTGCAAAAACCGCCCCCGTGCTCCCTTCTTTCTCCCCGCAGTGTTGTAGCTGTGACCGTTCCTGGCACCGTGCCCGAGCCGTCCTGCTGCCAGCACAGGCTCCGTGTGAGCTTCTTGCATCCCCGTGCAGATCCCCCC